AAGAGGCTAACAGGTTTGTTAATTTAGATGATTAGAACACCAGCAACAACAACAACACAGCTCTGGACCTTTCAGACGAGCAACACAACAGTTTCATTAGGCTGTTTGAGCCAAAGACTGGATGGTGAGATCACAGGACTGTTCTTGTTGCTCTTCAGCTGGACAAAACCTACCAATAAAATATCAAAGATCATTCAAGTGAGGGTTGTCCACAGTAGAGACTCAAACAGAAAGTTATTTGACTCATGGTTTTTATGTTTTCTCTTTAAATTCCTCCTCTATCCTTTAAGTTCTTTGCATCCCTGTAGTTTGCATGGTCTGTCAGGTGTTTCTTAAAGGGATATTCTGGTGTAAAATTAAGTTGAAGTCAAACACACCATAACACTGAGTTAGACACCCCGTTGATAGATTAATGTTGCCGACCGCTTGCTTCTCTAGTTATTCCAACTTTAGTAACAACCGCAGATAGTAATACAGAGAGCAACACACTCAACCAAAAAGTCACTCTATACACAAATAATGCTCAGAAGAGCACATGGGTCCCAGTCCTAGCACTAGCCATCAAACATCTTTTTAGCTTTGCCTGATTTATTGAGCAAAGAGACTAAACACAACTCACCCTCTCTCCTCCAGCAGCCGCTTGTTTGTATCAACTGCAGCGGAGTTTCGCAGCTCAAGGAAGAACATTTATGATCATTACTTCATGGAAATGCAATCAAACCAAGACGCTAAGGCAGAAGAACTACCGCGTCTCCAGTGCAAAATGATTAATATGGTGATTATTACTTCAAGGAAATGATAATGTAATGATCATAAATGTTCTTCCTTGAGCTGTGTCACCCCGCTGCACTCGATGGACTCACCCAGATCGCTACAAACAAGTGGCTGCTGGAAGAGAGTGGGTGAGTTGTGTTTAGTCTCTTTACTAAAAAAATCAGGCAAAGTTAAAAAGATGTTTGGTGGCTAGTCCTATGGCTGGGACCCTATATGTACTGTTGATGAAGTTAGGTGCTGTTCTGGGCTTTATTTGTGGCTATAGAGTGGCGTTTTGGTTGAGCGCATGGCTCTCTGTATTGCTATCTGCGGTCGTTACTAAAGTTGGTATAACCAGAGAAGCAAGTGGTCAACAAGTCATCTCTCGACTGGGTGTCTAACTCAGTGTTACTGTGTGTTTGACCCTAACTTAATTTTACGCTGGTATATCCCTTTAAGCTTTTCTTTGAGCGACATGAGCCACATGCAAAGTTAACACACAACCATCTGTGTTGAAGTGCACTCTCACCTTATTGACCACTGCACAGCTCCTGCGCGCCGACCCCAACAACAGTTTCCTCCGTGGTCAAAGGCACCTTGCATCTTATCTGTGAAAACATTATTTTCTTTCCATTTTCCAACTCTGACCCTGGAGATTTACACCAGTGACCTTTGGGAGGGTGAAGAATCACCTCTGAGGGTGAGTAATTATGTTTCCTCTCAGATTGTGAGACCATGCATGGCCTTGTTATCTCCTCTGCTACTGAGAAGTGTGAGGGTGTCTGTAACTATCGGATCAGTTGAGCCAGAGCTACACTCACTGACCTGACCGAGGAGAAGATGTTACCGTGGCTCCAGAGCTCTCTTTGCGCTTCAACATCCCGCTGAAAGTCCCTTTTACAAAAATACAAAACAATTGCCTTTATCACAAGATGAAATGACATCCTCACGACAACAACAAAAATAGATCTAACTGTAGGCCCTGTGGTCACAAATATCTTCAGTACAGCCTCACTGTGAGGGAACAAACTCTGATCTGCTCCGCCTGCCGTCAGAACGATGTTAGGCTAAAAATAGTCTGGTATCAAATCGTCTAAGTTAGGTCGATTGAAGCTGAAGTCATTCCAAGCATTGGCGTTTTACATAACGCCTGGCAGTTTTAGTGGCAAGCTGCATGAATTTGCAGAGCAGAAGATATCTCTTAAAAAATCTGCAGTTTTGACGCTAAATTGGATCTTCACATAAATAAATTAGGAAGAAGCTGGAGCTCACGAGGTATTGGATCTAAGGAAGAACATGAAGGAAGACTGTCTTTGCTAGAAAATAAAATTAAAAGAATTTTTATTTAGTTGTATTTCATTCATCTCATGACTCATTATATCTCACTTAATAGAAAACAGGGGAAAGCACAAAGCAGATGTTAGCAAGAAAAACAAGAGATAACCAAAGCATTATTCATTTTAAGGACTTGAGTTTTCAGCTGTTTTTGCGAGCTGTCATCTTGCATTTTGGAGGCATTTAGACTCTGAGTGAAAAAAGTGCAATATAAGATGTGTTTGCTCATTCCTGTTGAGGAAATAGTCACTTGTGCTTCTTACATGTTTAATAAGTTGCAGATAACAAGAATAGAGTTTCACAGGATGCATTTTATTTGCTTTAGACTCAGTGTTCTCAGTAACTTTAAGCCCACTTTCTTGTAGCCTCTCTTTAGATGTTGTAATTAAACACAATAAATTAGAAAATGATATTACTTTCCTCTAAATTTTGCACTTACAGTTTCTGCAAACTGCAGACAATAAAGGTAGGTTGACACATCAGGTGTTGGTGTAGCTACTTCACAGTGGTTTGCGCTATCATGTCTACTATATACTAGCACACCAGAGTGTCCACATTGCTCTGTTATGTTCTCTGCTTGTTAGTTTGTGCACAGAAAATGATGGAAACTGAATCTGAGGATATTATGTTGAAGCTGAAGCCAATGAATTTTGAGCAGCAGTTGACCACACAAGAAGAAAAGAACAAAGACGTGGGAGGAGATGAAATGAGCAGTCGATGTATGGAGACAGAAGTAGGAACAGTTGATCGAAAATTAAACTGTGAAGAATTGAGCTGTTGATAGAAGTTGATCTGTAGGTTTTCTTCAATACTAACTAAGGTTAACACAAAACCTGTTAAACATCTGACTATCTGCTTTCTAATATGTAAAGGCCTTATGCAATGCGTGAGATACCCTGATGATTGAGGAGTCTCTCTATTTGCTGCTCATGTATGACAGTCATTTGGTCTTCAGGCCCTTGATATTTGATTTATATCCTCACTATTAGGCAGTCAAGATGAATTGCCCATGGAAGACTGCACTGCATGACTTCTCCACTTGTAACTTGGTTGTAATGTGCTTCGGTGCATTATTTTCTCTAAATGCAGCAGTGCAGTCCCTAAATCTTGCACCATTAGTTTCTGCAAATTCAGCTTTGTCAAGTCAAACATTAAAGGCTGTATGTGCTGATTTTACAAACACGTTTTAGCAGAAAGTCAACTACAGGCTGCAGCAGACTGCTCAATATTGATTTTTGCCAGACTGTTGGCTCTCGGGCCTTCTGCTATTTCCATGTTTCAGTCAAACACTGAGTCAGGAGTGGAGACTGAAACAAAGAGCCAAAAGCAGCATATTCACTTTTGTTTTAGTTTCAAGTTGAATGCATGGATATCTATGTTTCAATGTAGTCCTAATGCCTCTACTGTAAGAGGGGTCAAAGGTCATGGTATGTTGACATGGGGGCATGAACCTGCATGGTCTCCTTCAAGTGCAGCTTTATGTTATTGTTGCTGTCTATTTTGCCTGCTCCAACATCTTTGCTGTATTTCATTTTCAGTTAAATGTAAAATCTTTGCTGCATTTGTCTTTGGTCGGTTATTTCATTGAAACCACACGACACAAAATTTGTCATTCGCCCTTTAATGGTATTTTAACTCTGGACAATGAGTACCCAGGCTCCTAAATCCCATTTTTTCCTGCTGGGACATAAAAGTATTGCATGTTTTTATGCAAACTTTTGGGCTTGACTATTACTCTAGTTTCACTAAAAATGAAAATGATCTCAAATTATTTGAAGAGTAGTTTCATTGTTAGGGTATGAGTGGATTAAGAAAGGAAAAGATTAATTTTGCTTTTTTATTTATATCAAACTATCTAGATGGGAACAGAATTTCACATATTTATTCAGGAGCCCAAAATCTTAGTTGTTGGCCTAAAACTGAATCTACAACATATTACTGTATGAAGGCTTGTTGGCCAAGGCTATTTATAATAAAACAAACTATGTTGTTTTTTTCCAGTATTTTGAATTGCACAGTACAATCCAGTTTTAGGCTACATAACCTTCCTCCTGTGTTAGCTTTTACTACGCACCCACCATGTTAAGGGTCGTTTTGACCCGTGTCTTATATCAGCTCTGTCATCCAGTTTGGTTCTCATCTCTAGGTCACCTTGCTAGGCTTCATTATCCATAAAAACATTGCTTGTATTATTTTTTGGTGTTTTTTGGGGAGGGAAAAACATGGCAAAATGAGAATTTTCTAAATCTCACATGATTGGAAGAGGATCTGACTGTCAGTGTGGTGCCTGACAGTGTACTTGTGATTTCAGTTTTTGCTCTAATTATTAGATATTGATCTAACAAGTGCCATAATTCTAATAAGAGCATTTTATAATTAAGTCAATTAAATTTTTTTATTTTGTTGAAATAGAGGTCCCTGACAGAGTCAAAAAGTCTTGATGCACAAAAGCTAATTTAAATGGGTTTTTTAAGCATTTAAAAACAAAAACGGGTCACTGCAGACCCTAACCATACAGTCTATGACCCTAACATAGGAGGAGGGTTAAATGAATCAAGCCTATATGTGACACGACCAACAATCTGAGACATTCATTATATAAGAAACATTCAAAAGTTTCCTGGATGGGTTATGAGATTTTATTATTTTTTTATTTCACATATTTTTCTGAATTAGTTATTGTTACTTATACTCTGGGCTCACCTATCTAGATTTCTATGTGAATAATAAACACAATTTAACATTTTTTAACACTTAATACAGTTGACCTCATTATTGAATCGCTGTTTTCCCGAAAAAAGGGGGAAAATAAAAACTACAGCTCCCATGTGCAGCTGGGAATGAACGATTGACCAATGAAAAGCCAGAATTTGGATGACGACACTTTCTTTGGTCCATTTATGTGTGTGCTTGGTACGCTCGCGCACAGAGGGCTCGCGGCAGATTGTGTGAGAGCGGAGCACAGCATCCACAGCTCGTGAAGGTGGGTGTGACAAACATTTCTTGTTAGGCGAAAAATTGCTTATTTGAGCGCGAAAGTACGAAAATTACTAAATTAAGCAGGTCGTAAGTGATACCGGTAGAGCAATAAATTGTATCTTATCGATATTTTGTCAGTAATTTGTGCAAAATGTGTACTGAGAAACGTTTGTAGGGGTTCTGTTTGTGTGGCACGTGAGCTGACCGTTAGGTATATTTGTGCTCACGAGACATCTTGTGCTCGTTTTAACGGCTAGACGGGGTTTGACCACGGTTGTTCACGCTCTTTTGTTGGTGGGTGGTTAGCCTATTGTATAGTGGGAGACACTGGCACAGTTGGCACCGACGGGGGAGACAGACGAGGGGGTCTCTTTTTCACGTCTGTAAATTTTCAGGGGTGGCGGGTACATTTTGTGGCGACCCTAAGAAGAGAGAGACACCACAGAGAGAGAGAAAAAAAGAGTGAGAGAGCTTATTATTCAACATTTTCTGTGGTAACGTTTCCATAAGCTCGTCTTTGTCTGCAGCTGCTCGACACGTTGCTTTGAAAAGCGCCTTTGTTTGATGCTGTTTTGGGAGAAACGGCGCAAAAAAAAAGCTGAGAGAAAACTGAATTTTAATGAAGGAGACAGGTTGCCATTGTCAAGGCGAAGTCGGTTGTTTGGAAATGCCAATCGTGGGTGTAAAAATGGAAAGGAAAGGAAAGGTGTGGGCATACATACACCAAACCTTTTTTTCCCTTTATCTTTCTTTTTTATTTTTTAATCAAGTATTTTAGGCAGCATGTCAAAAGAAATGAAACAAAAAAAGAGAGAATATTTAATAAGTTGTTGCCTTTGTAATATAATTTGGGAGGGGTCTTTCTCCCACCAACCATCTGATTTTGGTGACTCACATTCTTAACATCCTAACCAGATGACATGACAGCTGATGTGGTTGCTCCATCATATCTTAAGATGCATTTAAGATGATATAAATTGTGTTAAAATTAGGCTTGCCTTGCGTGTTAAGTCGGCTGTTGTCCTACACTTGTCCCCCCCCCCCCCCCCTTTCGTCTCCCTCCTGCAGCTCAAACACATGCTGCAAGAAACAGGTGCTCCCCGATGATCATTTCCCTCCGGATATGCTTTATATCTGACTAATCTGATCTAAAACGATGCATTTTGGTTAGTATTTAACTGGTCCCTTTTGCAGACTGGTCCCCTGCACCTGGCAGTACCAGCCGTACCCACCCAGACCCCCAGCCTTTTGTCTCCACCAAATGTGTCTCGTCGTTGATGACCAATTATCAGGGCGGATTACGGCCTTTTTTGTAATGCCCTCCTCTTTCTCTCTTTTCATGTGATGGGGCTGTTTCAGGTGCTCTGATTTGATGTGAATGTCATTACATGGACAAGTTAGCAGACAAACAATGGTGTGTCACTGATGCCAGAGCCGTTTTGTTTGGATTGATGGGCGGTGGTTGGTTGCAGTACTGAAAACGGCCACAAGGTGTTAGCAGTGCTTCTTGTTTTTAGCAGAGCAGGGCTACAACACCCGCTAGAGGTCTCTTATTTTGGTTGAATTGAAAAAAGCTGACCTTTTTCTCTTTTCTTTTAGGTACATTAACCTGCAGCGCAGTCTTAAAATGGCAGCCTCAGAAGGTTGGTTACATCTTTCGAAATAATTCAAATCTAATGTACTGCATGACAAAGCTTCATTGTGTCTTAATGAGTCCTCCTATTGGTTGTGTCTTCAGATATCAAGGTTAAGGAGCTCGACAAGAGGGCCTCAGGCCAAGCCTTCGAGGTCATCCTTGCCTCTCCTGCTCCAGATGCCAACTTCCCTCTGTCTCCGCCTAAGGCTAAGGATGTGTCTCTGGAGGAAATTCAGAGGAAACTGGATGCTGCAGAGGAGAGACGCAAGGTAGAAAATGATTATTTTTTCCCTAACTTTACTGCTTGTAAATGTAAAATGTGACATCTCGTTGCTAACTGTCTTTTCAGAACCATGAAGCCGAGGTTCTGAAGCACTTAGCTGAGAAGCGAGAGCATGAAAAGGAAGTGCTACAGAAAGCCATGGAGGAGAACAACAACTTCAGCAAGATGGCAGAGGAGAAACTCAATCAGAAGATGGAAGCCAACAAAGAAAACCGCACGGCACTAATGGCAGCCATGAACGAGAAGTTCAAGGAGAAGGTCGGTTGATTTTTGAACCTCTAAATTTGGGTTTTTTTTTTGGTGTCAACAACCACAAAACTAACTTTGTCTTCATTTTTGTAACAGGACAAGAAGTTGGAAGAGGTACGAAAGAACAAGGAAACCAAAGAGGGCACTTCGGAAGACTGAAAGTTACCAACGGGGGATTGTACAGGGTTTTTTACGTATCCAAAGATTGATTTATTTTTTGTTTGGCCAGTATTTTTGTTGTGTTCACTACCCACCTTTTTGAAATAAATACAAGTTCCACTTTGTGAATTTTTCAATTCTCCTGCTATAAGTGTACTTGCGCTGGTTTTACATGTGGATCATTTCCCCCCCACCTGTTCAGTCTAATCCATTTGATATGTAGCTTGTCAGTGCAGCTTCTGCCCTTTTTGAAATTAGCAGTGTGTACTTATCCTTTTTGAGGAAGCATGTTTCTATGCATAGGTCTTTTATCCCTGCCTATTTCATAGTGCGTTTTGAAACTTGTTCCTGTGAACCACACCTGTTCTCGGCACCTACTGTATATTTAAAAAAAAAAAAAAAAATGAAAAGACGTAGCACAAAATTCAAACAAGGCGTTGGCTGTTATCCATGCAAGGTGTTTAGTGCGGCTTTGCTACTCAGATTCTGCTAGATTTTTTGCTCCTGCACATGTTTCGTGCCGCTGCTGATTCTTCGCTTTTGTAAAAATATAGAGTTATCCTGGAAGCACATGACTTCTTGCTGTTTAGCTGTGAGTTAAAACATGTTGGAACATGTAAACGGTTGCCATCTTGGACATCAGAAAACAGGGGTCTACACATGGAATGCAAAAGAGCAATACACTTTGGCATCTCAATAGATACAGTGGCTAGTTGACTTGAACTGTTGTACTAAAACAAATAAAAAAAATCATACAAACACATTTCTGCTTGCTATTTTAAACTCTCTGCCCCCTTTTGTTGGTACAGTTTATTTTGTAAGTTTGAGCCGCAATAAATTTCAGTGTTTTGAGCAGAATTTTGAATTCTGGTTCTTGATAGTGAACTGGAGGTGTTGAGGCTTGTTTATTTGGCTTCAGCTACACACTTATAAAACAGGCCTCACATCTTAAAAGCATCAGGCAACTTGCACTTCTTTTACAGTCACAAACAAATGTTTTTTAAGTGGCATAGTCCTAAAACTTGATTGCCAAAACTGATATGTAAGATGTCTTAGATGTATGTTGCTCCCTACTGGAGGATTAGGATTAGGGTATCATATTTTTAGTCTGTGAAGTTAAGAACAGCAGCCTATGATACAAGATCACAAACAACTCCTGGTAATGAAGCGCTCTTCTAGAAATCTTGACTTTAAATGTTCAAAGGAGAACATCAGTGTCTGTTAACACGCTATGCACATGCTCACAAATGTAGTCAGTGTACCAGAATGAAAACTGTAGTCTTTGTCGCCCTCTGCTGGTGATGTAGTTGAGGTCATGGGGTTTTTGTAAAACCTGAATCCAGTCAAATGTGACTAACACACATTTTGAGACTGACAGATGTTTTTTAAAAACCCATTTTTAAATTTACTTTGTTTCATTCATGTTAAAATACTTGTATATTAATACGAAACACCAGCTTTCTCTTTCTGGATCAATTTCAACACTCTTTCAAACAAATTTGAACTTCTGCACCCTTCACTTTTACTTCTGCCATATTTTATTTAACCATAAATATCACTGGAAAGTAGCATGTAATTGCATCTGATCAAACACGTTCATGTCATGTTCAAAAAATCTGTGATTATCTGCTAACCCTGACTCTGTGACAACTGCAACATTAACACAAAGTCTTAAAAAAAGTAATCGTTGTAGAAAACTACACTGAGTTGCTCTGTTTAACTCCCAAAATGTCTCACTGAAGAGAAACCAGCCCCTTCAGTCTTAAGATGAACTTTCTGCCTCTTCCTGGAGGGACTAAAACAAGTAAACAGTGCCATCTGCTGAACACATTTCTATGCTGCAAGGGTCACACTATCATAAATCAAAGTTATAACGGGTTTTAATGTGGCTGTTTCAGGCTCAAATAAGCTGTCATCTATTTGATTAAATAAAGCACTAAGGATCTATTATAACAGATGGATTATGATCATTGGAAAAAAATACTCCTGAAAGTCAAAGTGTACATCCAAGTACACGTAGATAAAAGCTTTGATTGCAACACCAACAAACTTCAAAATGAAAAGTACTGAGAGTGTTTCAGTGTGTCTGACATGGTGAAAGTGTCTTCACCTGTTGTCTGAGGCTTCTGATACAAATCAGTCAAACCAAGTAATTCTCTAACCTAGATTATGGAGCCTCTAAATCATGTGATGCTTATACAGAGATAGAGAATATCTTTTTGGCTGGACTAATAATATTAACATAATAATACTAATATTTATAATATTTTCATCATGCAATATTGTCCAAAAATAAATAGCCTTTTTTTTTCTCAATTTTTATTAGAACTATACTTCTAAATACTGAGCTACTCTCAAACACTGTCTATTTCCTGTTTGGTTTTATATTTTCCTCGCTCAGTGTTTTAGTTACCATTTCTCTGTATTGCACCTTTGTTTTTCAAAACCTTTGTGTCTGTATGTTTACCGTCTGGAGTTTATCAACACTCCCTTATTTCTTGTGCGCTACTTCCTGCCACCTGCTTCTTTCCTCAGGTCTAATTGCCTTTTATTGGCACCACCTGTGTCTCGTTATCTCACCTGAGTTTGATGATGACTGCCATGTGCAAGTGCATCAGTGTTTTCCCAATCTTTTGTGTTCTTAGTTACTGTGTTTAATCTCTTCTTAGTCAGTTATTTATGTCTTTTCCCACCATTTTCTTCATGTAACTCCAGTAATCTCAATTTTAAAATGCCTCATAATGGCCAATGTCAGTACTTCTTTACATGTAAGAGGACAACATGATCATACCAAATTTAAGTTATCAGCAAAATTACACTTTTCACTTTTAAAAGTTCCCACAAGTTGAACCACTTATTACTCAGTCCATTAAAGCAAATCAGTAATTTTTTACCTGATTTAATGTTGAAAAGGGGACCTATTATACTCATTTTCACCTTTCATTATGTCTGTAAGGGAGATCTGAACAAAATTGAAACTTGGTCTCTGTAATTATCCATTTAGAACAACACCAGAGGGCAGTATTGGTCTTTATTTCCCCTGTCTCTTCTGCAAGTATCCATCTTATCTGTTAAAATGAGTACCATCTGTAAATCTTAAATGAAATCTGTGTTTTTTTTTTCTTTCTTTTTGCCAACAGACTCTTTGTACAGACTGTGGAAGAACATCTTTCATAACTGCACTAAACTGTTATCAGTCTTTACTTGATAACATTGGTTTGTTATAATAGGTATGCAAACATGCAAGCATCTCTTTAGCTCCTGTCGATGTTGCTCAAAGAAGGGGGAGATATTATTAATAAATAACAAATTCTACTTACTGTCCCTGTTCTTGCGTTTTCCAATTTCTTATAACTGCCAAAAAATATATATATCTGTATATTTTGATTGATTGTGGTCAGCAGCAATCCCACACTGATAGCTCTGTATTTGGTTTAGCTGTTAGTCTTACATTATCAAGTTCACATGATGGAATATGTATCTTCTGAAAAGGTCATCGAGATACGGTTGAAACCTTTGACAAATAGAGAGTAAGATTATTGGTAGTATATATATTTTATCCTTTTCTTTTTTGGACTTGCTGTTTTTTGGCAATACTATTTCCAAAGTGGACAGTGTGGTGCAATGGCAAGCACTGTCACCTCATGGCAAGAAGGGTCCTGGCACATTGGCCATGTGTGGATTCCTTTCAGGTACTCTAGAGTCTAAAAACATGCTCCTTGGGTTATGTGTGTGCATGGTTGCTTGTCTCTCATGTCAGCTCTAGGAAACACTGGCGACCTGTCCAGGATGTACTCAGCTGAGATCAGCCCCAGTCCCCCATGACCCTAATTAAGAAAAGCAGTATCTACAATGATAGATGAATGGATGGGTGTTGCCAAAGTTGTGAATGAATCCCCCTGGAGAAGTTTAAGCCTGCTTTTTTACTGTGTTCAGTTTTTTTGATCTACACTTAGAATCAGTTTTGCTTGTCTCATTTAGACTACACTGAGGTTAAGTGGTACAGTACGCTATATACAAACACAGCTTAATTAATTATGTTAGCATGCTTTATTAGACTAATTAGCACCCTGGCTGAAGAGTGTGCTAAGGTAATTAGTTTTGCTTGTATTCAGTCCTCGACCAAAGAATTGGAAACATGAAGATGTTGACCTGGTCATGCTGGTAGAAAAAAAACTTAAGGGACACTAAGGCGACCTGACTTTGACAAATCTCTTTGCAGTTTAGCAGCTCTGACTTATTTCTCCTGACTTTGTACTCTACATGAAGCAGCATCAGCAGTATCTTTCAGGGCGGGTCTCATAAGAGTTGAGAGTTACAGTTGTTGTTTGTAAATAATTGCATTAAAATCAGTCCAGTAGATACTAAGAGGTGTCCAGACTGACCATAATGACATGAGAGAATGGAGCATTAGATAACTGCCTCACACTATCAAAGCGTCTGTATTTCTATGTGTTTATATTGATGCACATAACAATCCTAAAATACAACCCCAATTTCAATTAAAGGTGGAGTAGGCAGGATTCCGTTAAAAAAGCATCTTTTTTTGTGGTGTATGTACAACAAAGTTTTTAATATCAGTCAATAGCTATTAGTTATTGATGACATTTGGTAGTATAACAATATTGCTGTGTTTTGTTATGTTTGTGTAGTCAACATTTTAAATTTTTTGAGCGGCCCGCTCTTTCTGACTGTAAACAAAGCCTCCACCTCTCCCAACGTGATTGGTTGTGAGGTGGACGCTGCTCCTTAGTGCTGATTGGTTTTATGAGGCAAGCTCCACGTACTCAAATAACGTTTACGAGGCCCAAACAAAGTTAGCGTGCTACAATATCAGACAGTAGAAACCAACCAGAAAGTACAGAAAATTGTCTGAATCCTCCTTTGGTAATGGTTGCCAACTCAAGCAAGAAAACAAACTAAATACCGGAGACTCTGGTGGAATAACGGGTGCTTAAAATAGAGGTAGACCGGACAAGAGCTAAAAATTTAGGTTGTTGGGGAATGCTTCGGAATCTTACGAACCCTGTAACCTTTCTGCTGGACAGGTAAACCGCTTTAACAAAGTGTCAAGTGTCTGTAACAGAAGTGTTTCTTGTCAAACGGGACCTGCTGCGTGTTCTAGCGCCTCTAAACTGTTGACCTCGGGTCCTGGACTATGTCACTTTATCCTAGTTGTAGAAGTCCTGCAAACATTGTGTTTGCTGGTAGTCTGTTGGCATCTACAGTAGCACCAATTTAAAAATTGTGGTTATGAAAATCAGTATCTTTCAGGCATTTTAAAAACAGATATTTTCAGAGCCAGCCTCAAGTGGCCACTCAGGTACTGCACTTAATGGTGCTGCTCCTTTGGCTTCATTTTTTATCCAGGTAGATGAATGCAAAAGATTGGGAACTAGAAATGAAATATTCCTCACTATATTCTACACAGCCTCAGAAACCCCCAGAAGTCCCAGTCGGGAGCTGCTGTCGCTCTAGCTTTCATATTAACAGTAAGATACCGTTTAAATCCTGCAGAATTCCTGTCAAACCTTATAAGCCCTATATAAGAGCCTCACACTTGGCTCTGCACAGAAAAGTACCTGGCTGAACACATGCTGTGTGTAATGCAGGCAGCAATCAGGATGTCAGAGTAAAGCCTGGCGGTTGTCTGAAAATTGCAACATGAAAAGAAGTGGCAAAAATAATATCTGGGCTGTTAAAGTCCTTGTCAGAGAACTCATTTTTCATGCCTGATTTGCTGTACTTTTCTTGCACAGAAGAGTAATTAGGTAAAATCTATTGAGGCTTGACACTGTTAAAGAAAAAAGGAATGTGTGGGATAAAAGTGAAATGCACCATTACTGTCTCCAACTGTG